TCCCCAGAGCCGGCTGCTGAGGCTGCGCAGCCTCTTCCCCATCGGGGAATTGGGCTCCAAGGGTGCCTGCTGTGAACGTGGTCCTGCGTGGTCCTGTCTAACCCTCCTATCTGCTGCCCTGCAGCTGCCCATCGTGTCGGTGGTGAGAGACACCGAGTCCCAGCTCCTGCCCGACGTGGGGGCCGTGGTGACGTGCAAGGTAGGGCGCCGGAGTGCACTGTGATGGCAGGCCTCACAGCCTTTGCTCTCTCTGCCCCGTGCTGAGCTGTCTTCCTGCATGTGTTATGGCATGGGATGAGGAGCCCCTGGGCTCGTTAGTACGCTCTGTACAGCTCCCAGCAGAGCAGGGGCAGCCCAGTGGCTCCCTTGGTCACAAAGAAGCCAGATATCGGCTTGGGGGATGCCAGTCTCTTGACTTTGCCTGCCTCAAGGCTGAAGTTTTTCTTTGCTCTCCCTTCCAGAACTTTCTGGGGCAGGATTTGTGGAGGGCAGTGCTTGCGGCAGCTTGAGGGAAGGGTGGCATAGACCAGGGTTTAGTTTCTTTATGGTCCTGGTGGTAGGAGAGGCACTGGGGTCACAGCAGGTCTCGGCCTTATTCATGGGTCTTGAGTTGCACAAGTATCACCTTCCTCGCCTGGCTTGCAGCCAGGTGTCCTACCTTCACCGATTTGGCCACAAGGACAAGGAAGCCAAGCGAGACACAAGCTCACTGCATACAGCCCTGTCCTGCCTGCACCCTGCCCTCTCCCTGCCTGGAACGGCTGCACTGGGGTGAGAGCATATGCCCAATGGCACCAATTCCTCTTTTCCTCCGGGCAGGTTTGCAGCATTAACTCCCGCTTTGCCAAGGTGCACATCCTGTACGTTGGCTCCACGCCACTGAAGTCCACCTTCCGGGGGACCATACGGTAGGGAAGAGGGCTGCATTCCCCACAGGACGGGGTGCCCAAGTGTCCCATCCTCAAGGAGGGAGGAAGGCTCTTCTGGGTGGTGCAGCCAGCTGCCCTGGCAGGAGCTCTGCCCCGAGCACCGGGCAGGTGTCCAGCAAGTCCTGGCAAGCGCCCAGGGAGGCCAGAGCAGCTCCTGCCACAGGCTGGAGAGTTGCCTTTGCTCACTGGCACTCAGATCCCTCTGTCTCCTTTTTCAGGAAAGAAGATATTCGAGCCACGGAGAAAGATAAGGTCAGTGAGGCTCTGCCAGAGACTCTGCTACTGCAGCCACCCCCACTCCTTCTCTCTGCTGGTGGGGAGCACTTGTCCCACTGCTGACGAGTGCCGTGACACACTGTGCAGTCTTGCCTGCTCTCTCCTGTGCAGGTAGAAGTATACAAGAGTTTCCGCCCCGGTGACATAGTCCTGGCCAAAGTTGTATCCTTTCCCCTCATGCTGGGAGGCCCTGAGGACAGCGGGTTTGCTTGAGTCCCCTCAGGGACACCTTTCCCTTAACCCTTTATCTAACCAGATCTCGCTAGGGGACGCGCAGTCCAACTACCTGCTGAGCACGGCCGAGAATGAGCTGGGCGTGGTGGTGGCACGCAGCGAGGCAGGTAGGGACGGGCCTTGTCTCCTCCCTTTCCATGTGGGAGAAGGCAATTTCAGGAAGGGGAACCCCTGACATGTGGCATCCCTAGGGGTGCAGATGGTGCCCATCAGCTGGTGTGAGATGCAGTGCCCACGGACACACACCAAGGACTTCCGTAAGGTGGCCCGCGTGCAGCCCCAGTTTCTGCAGACCTAGCAGTGCCCAAGGAGCTGCAGGAGCTGCTGAGGTCTGTGGGGCCAGGGCAGCCCCTGGGCTCCACACTCCTCCACCCGTGCAAGACGCTGGAACAGCCGAACAGGCCCTTGCTTGCAGGATGGATTTTCTATCTGTGGATAATAAATATTTTTTGAGAGCTCCATGCTTGGCTCAGTTACAGCCCTGAGGGTGGCTGTGGCTGCCTGCAGCCCACCAGCCCAGCTACCCTAGCGGGGCGGC